CCCCATCTCAGCCCAGCCGCCTGGCCGGCCCTGCCGCTCCCCCCTCGGCCTCAGTCTACCTGCCTAGTCCGAATGGGGCGGCCGCAGAGACCCGGGCCTGCCGCCAGCCTTCCCTGGCAGTTCTGGACCAACTCCTCTCGCCCTCCAACCAGAAGGGGGGGCTCTCTCCTCCCCCCACACCCCTGGCTTCAAGTGCCAGGCGGCCGACACCAGCTCAGCGGCTTTCTGCAGACCCCCTAGAAGGGCAGTCTCAGGGGCGGCCGGCCTCAGGGATGCAGTCCCAACTGGCTTTTTAAAAAAATAATATATTTTTATTGGTTTCAGAGAGGAAGGGAGAGGGAGAGAGAGAAACAGCAATGATGAGAGGGAATCATGGATCGGCTGCCTCCTGCACGCCCCACACTGGAGATCGAGCCCGCAACCCGGGCCTGTGCCCCGACCGGGAATCGAACCCTGACCTCCTGGATCATAGGTCGATGCTCAACCACTGAACCACCCGGCCAGGCACCAACGGGCTTTTAGATGAAAGTGAGCGAGAGGCTTTGTCCCTCCCGCCTGCTTCGGGAGCGTCCTCTCTCAAACGCAGCCCACTCCTCAGCCCCCACTCGGTGGGTGGGCAGAGCCGGGAGGCCCACTGACTCCCCATGAGACCTGAGACCGGCCCTCCCGTCCTGGGCCTCGGCCTCCAGGGGCCCTTCCAGCCACAGTCCCGGGAGACAGACCGCCTCTCGCTGCCCCGTTTCTCCGGAGGATCTGGGAGCGAGGCAGGCCCTGTGTGAAGACGCCAGCTGAGCCCACTCCCCACCTCGCTCCTCGCCAGGCTGGGGGTCTCCCTAGGAGCCCCCTCTCCCCGGCTGGGGAAGCCATGCCCGAGGCCACCTGGGGAAATGCCCCAACCCCAGGGCGCCCGCCGGGGGACACAGCTCCTCACCTGGCACAGGCAGCGTCTCCTCTCCCACCTGCCGCCCTGCCCCCAGAGCTCTCTCTGCCCCTGGGACCCCAGGGTGGGATGGCCCCCGTCTACCCAGGAGGGTAAACCGAGACCCCCCCCTCCCCGGCCTTCCTACAAGACCAGCCTGTGCGGGCAGTGACCATCCCTGAGCCACGCAGTCCGAGCAGCTTGTACTCGGGAGTGAGGCGTTGAGACAGCCGGAAGGGGCGGGTGCGGAGTTAGCGAAGACTGACTTGTTTTTTTCATATATTTTTATTGATTTCAGGGAGGGAGAGGGGGAGAGAGAGAAACATCCATGATGAGAGAGAATCATTGATCGGCTGCCTCTGCACGCCCCCCACTGGGGATTAAGCCTGCAACCTGGGCATATGCCCTGACCGGGAATTGAAACGTGACCTCCTGGTTCATAGGTCGATGCTCAACCACTGAGCCACACCAGCCGGGCAAGACTATTTTTAGCATTCTCGATTTTCCCCTCTTCTTCCTTTCTCCTCCTGCCTCAGTTCAGACACTCCAGACTTCCCAGAGCGCCCCCACATCCCCTCCCTTTGTGGAGCCCCACACCCTTGTTTCCGATGCATTAGCTTGGACGTGACCTCCTGGTTCATAGGTCGATGCTCAACCACTGAGCCACACCAGCCGGGCAAGACTATTTTTAGCATTCTCGATTTTCCCCTCTTCTTCCTTTCTCCTCCTGCCTCAGTTCAGACACTCCAGACTTCCCAGAGCGCCCCCACATCCCCTCCCTTTGTGGAGCCCCACACCCTTGTTTCCGATGCATTAGCTTGGGGGGGGCGGGGGGAGGGGGCGAGGGCCAGGAGGGGCGCTCCC